TGCCCGAATCGAAGGCAAACAGTTTAGCGCGTTGTCCTTTGCGGACGAATGTGTAATGCACAATGAAAGTATAATTCAATCCATGTATGAACAGGATAAAGTGAGCTTTGAAGAGAACAGGGACTACGTGTGTATGATCATCCTTCCGTCAACATAAGGAAGTTACTTGTGCCGTAATATCATGCGGGCCCGCCCGACATCCCTATCAGCTCTCGAAGCCTAAATACCTATATATATGTAAGAGTGCATCGTATGACAGTACTAATGTTTGATTTATGTTTGTTCAATTATTTATGAGCAGGTAACTTTCCGTATCTTGTACGCACTCAAGTACTACCTTTTCCTGCTGACTCGCGTCACGTTGGTGGTTTTTCGAGTCAACCCTACAGAGGGCGTAGCGACCTGCGAGCCAATCAGTGACGAGTACTTTCATGACGATATTAACGGCATGACGAAGTGTGACCGTGCCGAGGATACTGTCCAATAAAAGTAGAGAGAGAAGTGACAGGGCAGCGCTGAGGCACACCTGCTTTCTTTCCATTGGCACATTCGGGTGGTCGATTGAGAACGCTCCGTACGTGTTTTAAAGTGGCAAATTCAACGGCTTTGAAGCTGTACAACGAGAACAAGCCGATGGGCGAATCATATTCCTTCTACTTATCACCAATTCACTCGCTTATTTTGGTACTAGTGCTCAGTTGCTTTTCTAGATTTTGTTTTCGGAGTGCTCTGAAACAGTCACCCGAATGTATGCCGTTTGTTTACTCGGGAAGCGGTGCTACAAAAATAAATAAAAACAATTCAAAAGAGATACCACTTGAGGCAATCGCCATCAGCCGCACAACTGTGTTGTAGCTGACGCGCTCGTGCTATGGTGTTATGTTTTATGGTCTGCAATAAACTAAGTTCTCAGGCACCGCGCCTTTTTTTTCTTTTTTTTACAGAGCCAGATGCTAACATTTGGGCACACGAACTTAAAGATGGCGGAGTGAGAGCTGGAAGCCGAGCCATCTCTCCCGGCACGTGCCACTAAGTTCTAAAAAGTGATAAAACGAGCCGAAGACGAAAAAGCCTTGGAACAGTGGCTCCACTTTAGCTTTCCTTGTTGCCAACGTTTCACGCCGCTCCCGTTCTGTCCTACTCGGTCTCGTTTTTGTCTTCAATCTTTCTTCATTCCATCTCGTGCTGGCGCCCGCGCAAGGAATGCGCCCGCCTTGCCGTTTTGGAATTCCGTGTTTCCCACGTCGTATAAGGCGCGATAAAGACACGACGGGGCATCTTTACTTTTATTGTTTGCGTAGTTTTTACTGTTTTTGTGCGCTGAACTTTCATCTCGATTTTCAACTCTTTGCACAGACACACATACAAAAAAAGGACCACTCAAAGACTTGATAAGAAAGCCTAAACGGCTTCTGCTTTTATTCACTACTTTTTGTATGCCTCGTTAGTACAGAATTTCAGCGAGAATTCAGACAACTATGTTTTCGCACTGCTCTCCAGTTTACGATTCAAATGTATACGAGTGGAATGTTGGATGTATTTTTTTTTACAACGATATTGCTACTTTGTCTCTTATACCTCGGCATATTTCATTGCCACGGCCTGGTAATTGAGTTTATAACTGATATGATAATGTTCCGAGACATACCATCCCCATGGGCGCAGGCGCGTAGCCAGAAATTTTTTTCGGGGGGGAGGGGGGAAAAAAATCTTGATTTCGGGAGGAGCACCCCCTTAAAATGGTCATTTTTCGCTCTTCGTGCCATGGCAAAAAAAAAAAAGGGGGGGGGGGGGGCGTGCCCGGTGTGCCACTCCCTAGCTACGCTTCTTCATGGGCGGGAGAGAAATGAAGTTATTGTGTAGTGGTACAGGAGTTCTACTATAGATATACATGATCATACGTTCGAGTACGCCCAAGTGGGAATAGGGAACAGGGAGGAATGTGTGAGATGACAACGCCTGCAGCCGGAGCGATATAGGGGCCAAGGCTGACCCCTAACGAGAATCATTCGGCACAACCTAGTCGTATCCCTCAAAGTGCTAGTTATAACAGGTAAACGACATGAAGAAGGTGCAATGTACTGGATATATCTAGCCCTTTCCGCGGAACATGATCATGAGTGTCGCCGGTGAGAGTTTTGAGACGAAGAGTGCGATTCCGCGTCAGACGGGCTACTTTTGAACTGGCGCTGAGGCAGCAATCAAATTAAGCGGAGATCTCTCACAAACGTGATAAACCGAGATTGGCTGAAAACTACACCTGGTCACACAAATAACTGATGATTAGCGTGTTCCTCACAGTGGGCTCAGTCATTAAGCCGGGTCAGATAAACTGAATGCGCCCAACGCTGTAGACATGGTCTTATTTTTCTTATTGCTAAGTATTCCAATCAATCAATCAATCAATCAATCAATCAATCAATCAATCAATCAATCAATCAATCAATGTGTTTCGATATTGAAATTTCGAGGCAGCTAGTAGAAAAAAAAACGCGTGTCGCACATCCACAGTTGTCATTTTGTTCACTTGCGCGCAATCAGGTCACTGATGAGAGATGCTCTTCCGTAGCCAAATTTCGAGAATATGGATTAGTTATGGTTGGCCCAATCCAGGGATGATTTCGCTTGATTATCGTGTTTTTTTCTTTGTTTGTGTGGTTTACAATTTCATTAGAGAAGTAATTATTGCATAGACATCTTTATCTGATTTCGCGGAAAGTTGAAGTTTTTTTTTTAAAATTCATTCTGCCACCCGGGACGTAGCGTTGATTCATTGCACATTTAACTTTTTGCCGCAGCCAGCACCCCCTATTCCCACACTGATGATAAGGAAAAACCAAACAAACCACTGGCATATCGCGAGAGCGAGAGGAGACACTAACGGAGCCCGCGCGTGCGCCTATTCGTGACTGGCACTCGTCAGCCTTGTGCGGAAAGAAGTCATTGCGGCTGCTTTGGAGGCAGCTCCCTCTAGTTCCCTTTTTGTTCGACCGTCTATACGCACGTGTCCCCCACTCTTCCCGATTTCGCGCTCTTCGACCAGTCGAGCACACCAGCTTGTAACGGCAACGTTTCTATAGCTGTTTTTTTAGGCCCACCCAGCGGCTAGATGCCAATAAAGACACAATAGGAAGCATGTCCCCCCCCCCCCCCCTTCCCTACCCTCTCTCTGGACCGATAATAAGGTCTGACTCACTCCTTGCGGTCCACGCCCTTAACGAGCCACGTGGAACAGGCAGCGCGTGTAACGATATGGCGACCACCTTCGCTTCGCCCTTCAGTGACGTCATCATCTTTTGTTATGCGCTCTGTCCATGAAACTTTGATGATGTGGACAGTATTCGGTCATCTTGCTTGGAGCCTCCCGGAGTTTTTCTCATTTCCCTGTTCTTATCGAGACTGTAGGCGACATCTTTTTGTCGATTCGCCAATGAAATCCCTTCTTGAAGAAGCAACCGCTTTTCAATCTTCATTATCCAAAAAGGGGGGGGGGGGGGGAGGAAGGAGTTTTCGTCTCTTGAAACCACCATCGAAAAGAATTGTCTCAAAACCTTTGATGTATTTCAGAATGTATGTGCGTTGCTCAATGGGTCGATTATCTTTGTTTTTATTAGTTATCACGCTAGTAGAAAACATTTCGGCACGTTCAATTAGATTTCTTTTTCTTCTAACAGGATGTAACTACGCGTGCATGCGTGTGTTTTCGTGTGCGTGTGAGAGTGAGTACGCGTGTTCGTATTCTAACCCGTACCTCTCACAACAAGTGTTTCTTTTACTTTTCGCATTAAAATATTAAGCTTGCTTTGCCTGTTGCAGGTATTGATGGACTGGACACCACCCTTCAATTTGAAAAAAAAAAAATTCTGACTATCATTTTGGTGGTCGACGTACTAGCAGCTGCGCTCTACCATACAGTGAGTCGCATCTCCTTTTCGATTTCCGAAAAATGTGATTGCCGATTTGTTGTTTGTCCACTTTATATTTCACACATACATTTATGAAATTGTCCGCTTTTCTCACCAATCATGTATTTAGATGATTCCCCTCGTCCTATCAAGATTTGCTCCAATTACTATTTGTATGTTCTAGCTTGTAGTAACCTGTCGCATTTTCTTTTTTTTATTTAATTCAACTTTTTTTTAAAAAAAGAAGCTGTCTTGTTTGCGAGAAGAACAAATAGACTTGTTTCATTTTGTTTCTTCATCTAAGGTCTTCCATTTAACCCATGCTCATTTCAGCTACAACCTACCCACCTAAATAAACGAAACGAAGATGCAAGAGTAAATTTGGGCCTGGAAAGTCAAATGGGTAGCAGAAAGATGTAAACGTTCTTGTGCACGCGAGAATCCGAAGGTTACGTCTCAAAACATGAGCGTGTATAGGTTATGGCTCTTCACGTCGATGAGGCGTAATCAAAATGCATTGTTACCACAAAAAAAAATAGATAGATAGATAGATAGATAGATAGATAGATAGAGAGAGAGAGAGAGAGAGAGAGAGAGAGAGAGAGAGAGAGAGAGAGAGAGAGAGGAGTGGACGTTCAGAAGAAGCAAGCGAACTGCAACCTTGTGTATCTCGTCACAAGCAGCACAAGGCGAAAAAGAAAGATGAAGAGGATGATAGAAGACCTCGATCACGTGTAAGGTGCAAATTCGCCACGGCATCTCTGCTTCAAGTGCTTTCAGCGAACGAACGCAGCTGACGACACTGAAAGGGGGGAGGTTAAAGTGCAACGCCGACATCGTCTCAAGTTTTTCTAGATTGTAACTAAAGTTGGCGGTCCACCGTTTTCGAAAGAAGCCCTAAGTGCACACCCAACCTATTTTTTTTTTTCATCCTGTTCCATCTGGTGTTTCTTGTATTCGTTTTTATCTTAATTTATTCTGTTCCCGACATCTGGGATTTAGTGAGCGCAGGGCGCTTTTTACTGACTTTTTTAGAAATCATTTTTGGCATGTAGGCCGCATAACGGAAACAAGAAATATAGAAAGTTCACTTACCGGTGTCGTTGGCGATGTAAAAAGCAGCCCTCTTCCTGATATTCAGAGCTCCTGCGAGATGAGAAAAAACAGGTGAAAAAAGTCTATAAGACAGCCTGCTTATAGCCACAGTAAACTAATTTCTAGGTTGTTATTTCCCTCATTATTCAAAGCATCTTTGGCACACTATTGTAAAATGACATATTGAGCCAATGTGTTGTTTTTATTTAGTTTCCGTTCCATTAACTAGAACATCTGTTAGGACGCAACTGAGTATCGTTAATGATTTCTGTAAGCTTGGACGACAATTGGAATAGCCAATGGCAGCAATCTTTCATCTGATTGTTGAAAAAACTTTTCTACTTTTTTGCGTGTCTGTATTTACAACACAGCCTGCGTAGCATTACCTTATTGTAATTAGCAGCCGTATCAGTTCTGCCAATAAGTTTGGTAATCTAACGCATGTAAAGGACTGGTCTCACCACCAATTTTCGTTTGGACGCTCATTAGAGCTAGCTTTTTTTTGTAAGGAAGCAGACGACAAATGCGCACACAATTGTGCAATCAATCAATCAATCAATCAATCAATCAATCAATCAATCAATCAATAAAGTGATATTGATTTACAAAAACGCACGACGGAAGAAGCACTGTTACGACGTACCATCTATGTGGTAATACAGCTTCAATTGAATAGCTGCATACCTCTAAACTGCAAATAACATCCTAATAAAAAATTGAAGAACATAAACGTGAAAGGCTATCCTAAACTTTATTTATTGAATTGCATGGCGCAGGCAGTTTTGTTCAATAATATAAAGTTATCTGCAGCTTCTCTGCAACGATGACGAACTAACGGCAGGGCCCTTAATGTCAAATTCAGTGAATGCTGCTTCCCGCTAGCGGTCAGTGTTAATGTATGGCCTTCTCTCAAGCGCACGAGAAACCGGTCACCGCTTACCTGCACACAACACCCACATAGCCAAATAATATATTGGCCCCGTAGTAGTAACAGAAACAATGCACGCACTTAGTAAGGTTGTGTAATTCTTTAGAACCGTGCTTGCGTTAGATATATAGGATACCGTACCAATGCCCTACGTTTATTTCTCCGGGAGTACAGATATTGTTTATTTGTGTGGGATACAGACGAGCTTTCATGCACGTGAATGACGAGAGTCCACTGATTAGCGCTGGAGAAATTCTGGATATCTTTCTCCGGCTTTCGCACGTTTATTACCATTGTACTTACTCGACTTTCAGCGATTGTTAATGATGCAGCGAAAAATGACACGCATCGCACTGAGCCACTGTCGTCGGCTATTCGTGAACCAACCTGCAATTTCATTCATGTTATATCCTACGTAGACTCGTTTATTTCGTGGAGCATACTCATTTATATTGAAGAATGATCTTCATCCTGAACTCGACCTGTACAGACCCATTGTCATCATTATGAGAAACAGACGGAATCAGCATTGGGGGGCCTCGGTGCAATCGTATGCACCCGCTATAGTACCTCAACGGGAGTCGAGCATTATATCCGCTTGAAACCCAGGCTGTAGACATAATTTCCTTCGAAGTGTACACAATACACCACACAATGTAGCCCGTCCTTCTCAAGTTCTACAGCAAAGCAGGCCTGAAAGAAACACTGCTTCTTTTTGTTTTGCCCCCTTTTTTTGGTCATCCTTCAATATTCGCCTGTCAGTTGCACTTACCAGGCATTTGAGTCGATGCAAGCAGGACCAAACGCGAATCCATCATATATACATTCCGTCCCACTTCCAGGCTTACTACATATTTAACTCATCGATTGCGTTACTGGTCGCAGCGCATTCCGCCCGGGATAATTCAATTGCCCAGGACAGCGGTCCATCTTGCTTATTTTTTTTCTATATGTTTTCTTTGTGAGTTTATACTTTCACGCGCGTTCCTGTTGCTCTAAATCAGTCTTCTCTGAGAGGCGGACATATGGAGCATCACGCAGCGCTGAAGGAGAGGAGCCCATCGAGATGGACGCACGCTTTGAGTGCGTCATCAAAAATTGAGCCTCCGTATGTGGGACGAATGTGAAACGGAGTGGCAGTTGCGTGCGGATGATTTTTGCACACATGCAAACCACTGGAGATTGTGAAATTCGTATGAGTGATTAGCAGAAAAGCATATTTGTTCATAGTTTTGCGAACAAGCATGTTGTGATCGAAGAAAAGGAATGTGATGTTGGTTGTACAGAACTAAAACGAATCACAAATCTATACAATACATCCTCAGAATTCTGACACAGCTTTAACGTAACCATGGTTGAATTCATTTCCTATCAGCGTCGCATGCCGGAGCAACAAGGGTTTAGGTGCACCACTAGACACCAGACTGTTTTTACCAATGTTCACCGAAGAATCTTTCTCTCTATGCCAGCACATTGATTCAGGAAGTAACGAGTTATGATTCATATGTACAGTTCTTCTATTTTGATTTTACAGAACCCACGCATCGTTTACTGACTTCGCAATGTTTTGTTGTGTGTGTCGACAACATGTCCGCAATTGAACTTTACCGAACAAAAGTGAAGAAACTGAGCAGCTTTGCTACGCGCTGTTGATGAGCTCACGGGATGTACACAGCACCCATTATTATGATTACGTCGATCTCCAAACGAAGAACAAGAAGGGAAATCTGGGTTAGTTAGTAATAGTTCATTTTCCGATAACTCGCAGTGGCAAAAAAAAACAAAACGAAGACGCACACTGAAGTGATAAGACAACACGAGCGCTGACTCTCAACTAAAAATTATTAAACAAAGGTTACTTCGTAGTTAGAAACTAATCTCGAAGGCCATGCTTTCGCCAGCACTTCGCCGTAACCTACAGCATCCTGTGTGGTGCACCCATTGTAGACTTGTTTGTTATATACGAGGCTGGAGTAAATATCGCTTGTCGAATAAACCACCCTCAGAAAGTGAGCTCATGCATCGCTTTTTTGTTTGTTCGTTCGTTTGTTGATAGCAACTCCATGCAAGCTACAGCTAGCACTGTAAAATCAACGACTGGCCGCAACAACGTAAGTATAGTACTGTTCCATCCTCATACAGGGGTAGCCTGACAAGAACAGAACAGAAAACAACAAACTTTGTTAAATAGTGAAAGTCATTATTGTGTAGCAGACGAGGGCTCCACTGGCCTTAGCCTCCCCTTCCTCCAGTTCAGGCTGGTCTAACAGCGCTCGCTGGTCGGCCTGGTCAGAGCGGGACAGTCATGCCTCCCACTGCTGGAGCATACATGTTGGCATCACGCCTGTGTCTGTCAGGTGTAGGAAGGGTGGGGTGGGTGTGTGCTCTGAACAGCATTAGGCAATGTGGTATAGTGTAGGCCTGGCAAGAGTGAACTACGAAAGCCTGAAAAAACTTATGTCACAAAATGAGGAGCTGACAAATGCACCACACAGACTCGCACGGCCGTTTTACCCGTCGACCCCAGGAGCATCCAGGGCGGTTGGAAAGGAATTAGATTGACTCAGGTACGAATTATCGCGTCCGGTAAGTTTACTACGAGCCAGTACGAGTCTACGACTTCTATATACCTTCGACATATGCTGCACGAAAAACAGCGCGCGCGAGAGAGAAGACCGGTCGTCTTCAGCGTCGTCTCGTCCCGACCGATGCTATAACAAGTCGCAGCCTCCTCCAGAGCCGGAGGGAAACGGAGGAAGGGGTCCGAGGCTCATTACCGGAACCGCCGCGCACGACCGCTAATGAGATCTAAGAGGAACGTATACGTCGTGATGGGCAAAGAGTATATGGTATATTATAACGTGCGCTTCGCGTTTGGGGGGAGGGGGGGGTGGTCTCTGCGTTTTCGCGCTCTTCCCAAGTCTCGAAGAAAACTCCTCTGGCGTGCACTTGGAATCGGGCGGCTCCGGGTAATCACACGCCGCTCGCAATTAGGAGCCAGAGCGTCGTGCTAGATGCCAGACCGCGCCTCCGGAAAAGGAGTAGAAGGGGGATGAAACAGACTTGCCTTCGCGGATCGTGATGCGCCCGGCATAGCACAGGCCGCCTTCTGTCGCCAGTAGTTAGGGATATGGGACGGAACTTCCCGAATCCTTCGGGGGCTCTGACACTTATCGGGATGAAGAAGGGAGACGTTCGCGACCCTTCCCTTTCCTTCTCTCGCTGGCGAAGGCTGCGGCGTCACCGCTTAGCGCAGCGTCTGCCGAGACGACGCTGACGTCGTTGCCGATATTTTCTGGGTCTTCACGTTGCGACTGTCTTGCATATCTTTTTGGTCCTCGTCAATGCCTCGATGGTCGTATGAAAGAAAGGCGCTTGGCGAGAAGGCTGGCTAAGCATCCTCGTCGCGTGCCTCATTGATGAGGTAAATTAGCCGCGAGGAAGACGGACGACACGTCGGTGTTAAGGCGTGCGTCACAGTGGCGGGATGTAAACGATAAGGCGTTTTTGTGTACGCGCGCTGTTTGTGCGTGAAGCAGATCGGTGAGGATGCACGATACAGATTGTAAATTGCTAACTGCTATACGTGGTAAATTGCGCACTTTTTTATTTACAAGTTATTCCGCCTCATTCGGGGATTTAACGAGGGTCGCAAAACAAGGACGATGTGCAAAATATGAGGCGCAGTTACCCAGGACGGTTAGCGTTTGAAGTTAGCTGCCAACGCTAATTAGTCAAGCCATTTGCTTTAATTAGAAAGGCTTACTCTACACTGTCCAGTGATCACTAAAAGGTGCAGGTTACTCAAAAGGCTATTATTGCGCTGCCTTTTTTTCTATGCACTGTACGTCATAACTGCTCATCGTTTGTGTATTTTGAGGAACGTCGACGGTGAGATTTTGATAGCACTTTTCTTCCTGAAAGGCAGAAAAGTTGATCCACTGCAGTTGATCCACTTACGTGGATCACTTACCTATATCCGCTTCATTACCTATAGGTCCACTTACTTAAAGCTTCTTTCTATTTTTAATATAATCCGGATGTTTCGCAGCTTAAAACTTTTTTTATACTATAATCACGCGAAATAGTAGGCCTATAGTACAAGTTGAAAACGTACGCGCTG